CGGGTCAAAAATCATGTTACTTCAGCAGCAAGCTGACGAGAACTGGTCTCCAATATGATCGTGTGTTTATGATCGAATGCTGCGGTACGACTTTGACACAGAAAAGGCAACCTAAAATGTGTAAACTACTTGCTGCGGTAAATTTGATTCAAACATTTTATTAAATTTAAGCACATAGATAAGCTTATCATTAGATCATGCGAAAAATTCTCAGATTGACGAGCCCATCTCAGAACTCACGTTATCCAATGCGGATGATCCTACTTCGTTAGTGAAGCTACCCCTCCTCACTACTGAGAAATCTTTTGAGTCTGGATTTGTCTGTGTAAATAAGTAGGTAAAGATGATTGCAGTTTACTCACATCAAAACCAAATAATTGTTTTGTAAGTGTGCAAACATCTGAATGTACAACGGAGGCATCTAAATGGTTAACATCGTTCTTAGGTTTGCCTGAATGTACGCTGCGACGTGTAAAACAAGGTTATTGTCCTTTTTTTTCTGTTTCCAGTGTTTAAATAGCGTGCATTATTTTAGACTCGAGCAGGAGTTTATCGAATGAAGCCCCGTATCTTGTAATTAATGAGGCTTCCATAAAAATTCTAGCTGATGCTGTTGGTGAGTCAAAAATATCAATGGAAACTCCAATGAAACTTAATCTTCAGGACTAACGATAGAGGAGACTATTGACCGGTTTCGTCCTAATATAGTAGTAAAGGGACTTCCACCATTTATTGAAGATACCGCTAAAAGAATGTCTATCGACGAATTTCAATTTGAGGTAATTTTGTTTACATGGCGACTTTGGAATTAATAAAATTTCCTGTAATGCACTTGCGAACTATACAATTTCGACAAGCATACGTCTGAATAAATTAACATTTGTACAAAAACAGATTTCGAAATCGTTGGAAACTGTAAGCTGCGAAAATTGAATCAGAACAATAGCGCAGCATTATTATGGAAAAAAAATCTCTTACTTGTAAAATTGCAGGTAATTAAGAAATGCACGCGATGTGAAATGATTTGTGTTAATCCAAATTCTGGAACGAAAGAACCGCAGCTAATTGTCGCATTGAGGAATTTCCGTCAACGAAAGAAGGTACTGCCTTTTTCTATGCAAATGTATAAACAGCTGCGCTTTCCTCTCTAGCACTAATGGAAAGAATATCAACTCGATGCATGAGATACGTGTTTAGCCAATTTTAATAGATATAATAATATCATATGTTATTGTCCCTCCTGTGCATCGATTTGAAATGTTATGCAGTTAAAGTGCTACTAGATTTCTACTATCGACTTTTGCGACAATGAAGTACGCTGCTTAGAATGAAATCACGAGGAAAAAGAAACAGATGATACTCTGGAGAAATTATAATAGCTGGGCATAGAGCGATACATGAAAGAGAGCAAAATTTTATAGTTGCAATCAAAAGAGTTGAACAAACATCGATTTTTAAGAACCAATGGAATATATAAATAATACAGATAATACACAAAAATTGCTAGTCTTACAGAGTATGACTGTCTTAACAGAAGAGCAGCATATTTTGCCCATAAATTTTTTTTCCAGATGACCTTTGGTATCTATGTACAACAGATCGGAGAGAAGAATGGAGAAATTCACAAGTATTCAAAGATTCATTTTAAATAAAACTCAGTAACAATCTCGTTTTTGCGGCACCCATGCCTTACAGGGAAATGAGGCAAATCGATTGGAATATACAACAAATCAACATAAAAACAAGCTATAAGGCTTTGACTCAATTCAATGAGACAAGAAAGCATATAACCATTGTACTGATACAAAAAAAACAATCAAATACTTACATGCAACGTCGCAGAACGAGCCACTTCAAACTCTTTTCCTGAGGGATTCGAGAAACGTTGGGAAGGTGACTATGCCATAGTAGCACCTAGCACAATTGACGAGAATAGAGATGTAATTGGGGATACGGAAGATGATGAAGAAAAAAAAGGAAAAAACAACGACCTATACTTCATCTACAAGAGAAAACCCCGTGAGTAGGAGATCAGCTGGACTAGGCTTTCGAAAGTAGTGGGGGAGCTGACGGATAGGAGGTGGTAAAGTCAGCTCTTCCACGATTACGACGAGATTGCCGTTTTCGCCACCAAACTGCACAGATACAGCATGGAGAACAGAAACATATCATACAGCAGCACCCGCACAGAGTTACCACAAATAACAATGTAAGGATAATCATCCTGAAATAATCAAAGCTTCGCTTTTTACGGATTCATTTCCATGTAAGTGGGTTATATCTACCATATATAGGACTTCACTTCGAAGGGAAGATGATCATAAATCCACTCTATTATGCCCATCCAATCGAGCGATAGAACTCGCTCCCATAACGGACGACCTTCATCGCTCATAGTTAGCGCTACCTCTCTGAGCTAAGGGACTGGTGAGCGAAGTGGTCTAGTGCCAAGGGAAGTGCAAGGAGGATCGATATGGGCAGCAAAGTTGAACTCGAGCCCGTCAGATGATGGTCGTAGCCTGCGTAGTCGGCGGGCTCTTCGAGCAGGTCCCGCTATGGGACGCAGGGGGCGGCGTCGGTGGGTTGTACACGGAAATGAGGATGTTTGAACGGCGAGACAAGCTTTCATTGAGAACAACGCTGACTCATCTATGGAAACGAGAGTGAGTATTTGCTTGAGCTGCTGGCGGCAACCCCAGACGTGCTACCGAGCATGTTTTTATTGAATTACGCACATGCTAGTGAGTCACCGTCTAGTCAAAATATATACTACAACAAAGCACTTACACAATCTCCTACTGCTCATGAATATAAAAAAACACGTTTCAATATAATTATCCTCTTAACTTGTCACTTACGTAGCTTATTCGTAGGACTTCCAAATGAACAAGGTCAGTGTTGCATGAAGCAGCCATCACTACTAACTCGATATCCACCCCGATACAAAGTTCAAATCGTAAAAGTAGTTACCAAATAGCTGTTGCAA